TTTTTTTTTTTTTTTTTTTTTTTTTTTCTATTAAAAACAAATTTGGTTTCAAAAAAATTTAATATATGATTTTAATAAAATAAAAACACAATGTATATTTTCATATTAATTATATATAATGCAAGTAAAAGATTTCTATAAACTTAATAAATACTAATATAAGTTTTTAAAATTCTATAATTGCTTAAATCTACCTCTTATTTTTTTTAATAATAAATGTAATACACTACACATACAACAAAAAGTAATCTTAGGAAAACTATAAATGCAATAAGAAAAGGAAATAATATGGAACATTTTTTTTTTTTTAAAAGCATATAATAATATATATGTATATATATAAACAATAATTTGTATATAATAAAAAAAAAAAAAAAATAAATGTAAATACTTTTTATTGTTAATAATTATTACTTTCTTAATATAAAAGGTTAAATATTTATAAAAATATATATATGTACATTCATAAAGCTTTAAAATATATATATAAACTGAAGTAATTCAATATACTTATAAATAACTTTATAAATTTTAAAACAACTATATATATGCTTAATAATTATATAAAAAAAAAAAAAAAAATATAAATACATATATATATATATATAAAGCTTTTGTCAAATATATTAAGAATTTCTTCATACTTCATAGGAATATAGTTAATACAAAAAAAAAAAAAATTAAAAGAACATCAAATAATTTATAATAAAATTTTTTTTCATTGTAATATATATATATATGTATATATATATATAGTGAAAGAGGGAAAGAGAAAAGAGAAAGAAAAAAAGAAAAAGAAAAAAAAAAAAAGAGAAATATATTATATAGTGTTAATAAAAATAGATAAATATCTTCAATGATACATGTGATTATATATATAAGTATATATATTACTTTTTGTTAATTCTACTAATTTTTATTTTTTAATTCAAGTATGTATAGAATTATTATGTTTTTTCATAAATATAGTATATATATATATATATATATATATATATAAATTATTTTACATTTTGTCATGCTTAATATAAATGTATATATTCAAATATATGGATATATTTTATTCAGGTTTATTTTAACAGTTGTATATATATTTGTTTTCACAATTATATCAATATATGTAAGCTTGTAAGATTTATAATTATGTAAATGTATAAAAATGGAATTAATAATATAACATTTTATTTAAAACATAACAACATCTATCTATTTTTATATAATTAATTATACGAAAATATCACTTTTATATTAATTTTTTTTAATGAATAAAGTTTTATATGCACATAATATATATAAGATATAATTTTACTTCTTCTATTAAGTATCATTCTACAAATACTTTTATTTTCTGCTTATTTAAAGTGCCACCATCATATCTGCCTATAAAAAAAGAAATTAGTTTTTACAAATTCATTTAATATATTTTTTAATAAAATATTTAAATGGAACTACTACTATATATATAAATATATATGTGTGTGCGTGTGTATATTTTTATTATAATTTTATTACTAGCTGCTAAGGCAGCTGATTCTAAATCAGCAAAAGTTATGCAAGCACAACCTGAATGCTCACCCTAAAAAAAAAAAAAAAAAATAATAAAAAAAATTATTTAAAATAAAAAATATTAATGAAAAATTAAAAAAAATGATATATATACTTTGCTTGTCAACATAATATCAGCTCGTAAAACATTCCCCATGCATCTAAATGTTTCTAAGATTTCTCTTGAAGTTAAATTTTTAGGTATCTAAAAATAAAAGTAAATAATTAAGTATATTATAAATAAATAAAAAATAAATATATTTATAAACTATATAATAAAAATTAATGAACAAGATAAAAAAAAAAAAAAAAAAAAAAAAAAAACTCACATTTGTAACTATTATATTATGAGGTTTCTTTGCATACACTGAATTATTCATTCTGGTAATCTTCTCTTTATACTTATTATATTTTATTTTATCGATATTTTGATCAACTTTGAAAAAAAAAAAAAAAAAAAAAGGATAATAATATTAATAATAATAAAATAAAAATATAAAATGATAAAAAATTTAATTTATTTATATAATATATAAAAATAAAGAAAAATATTTCTTACATATAGGATATTTCATATTAACTGTGTTACTATCTTGTAGATTATTTGGAAGAGGTACATTCATATTGTTTCCCCAAAAATTTGTATCTTTAAAAAAAAAAAAGAAATGAAAAAGAAAACATTAATATATATACTTATAATTTTACTATATATATATATATATAAATATGTTACTAGATTCATTAACAAAATTTCTTGGTTGAAAATACTTAGGCGTATTATTTTCATTAATATTATTTTGATAGTTTGCAAAAATTATTTTATTTTCGTTAAATTCATTTGGTCGTAGATGATTTTGCGGAGGTTTTGATATTACTAATAAAAGAACAAAGAAGGTATATATATATATATATATATATATATAATGATAAAATAAATAAATATATCTGTAAAATAAAAATATTTTTAAATACCTATATCACATGGTGGTTTTAATAAATAAAATTTGGAATTATTATGAATTGGTAAATTTGAATAATTTGGTCTTATATTTGATGAAAAAGACAATTTTTTATTGTTATTTTGCTGTTGATGAATATCACTATAAGAATACTCATTATTATTTTGATGTACAAAATTATTAGTTACAAAAGAATTTTTTTTTTCAACATTTATATTAATGGAATTATTATTCTGCTGATACGGTGCGGGTCTTAAAGTAGGACTAGTTATAAAATTTGCTGAGTCCCCTATATTATTTATCTTATAATTTTTTTTAGAATTATTACTATAATATAAGTTTGATTGAACATTTGTACTCATATGCATATTACAGTTTGATATACAACTTAAATTGACATTTGTTGTTTTTATATTTATGTTTGGGTTATGACCAATTGGATTAGTGCTAACATGATTTAGATGACTAGGATTAGAACTGATATGACTTAAGTTAAGATTGTGATTGGTATTATTTGCTATTAGGTGAGTAGGATTAGGATTGACATTATGACTCTTCCTATAATTCCAGTTCATTGAATTTTCTTTTGACATTGGGGGAGGTGGAGGAGGAGGAGGAGGCGGTGGTGGGCAAACTATTGAAGTGTTCGCATTATTCATGGGGAATTTTTGAAGAATTTTATTGTTATTTTTTTGATTATTTTTTGATAAATTTAATATTTTTTTTTTGGATTTTCTTAAGGAGATTTTTTTTCTGTTTTTTTTTAAATTTACTGATTTCTTATCATTTTTATCTCCATTTTTTTCATTATTTAATGCTTCTTTATTTACTATTTCATCTAAGCTCATATCTAATTTAGCTGAAGTTTCTTTAGGCATTTCCATTTTTATTATTTTTTTTTTTTTTAGAATAAAAATACTAAAAATAAAATATATATTATATATATATTTATATAAATATATACATCTATATTTTTTTAAAAAAAGAAAATTTTTACAAATTTAAAATAAAATAATTTAAAAAAAAAAAAAAAAAAAAACAAAATTGATAAAAAAAAAAAAAAAAAAAAGAAATATATTTAATAGTGAATACATAAAAGTATATATATAAATATATATAAATATATATTTAAATATATATATAAATATATATATATATATATATAATATTAAAAAAAAATTTTATATTTTATGAAAGTGTAATTTTTTTATATACATAACATAAAGGAGAGGAATGAATGTTTCTTTTAATTCACTTAATTTGTGCTATGCATATGTTTTTTTATTACTATAAAACTGAAACATATTTATTTTGTTCTTAAAACAATTTTACTTAGTAATATTTTTAATTATGAAAATATATATTTTTTTTAAATATAAAAAAATAAAAAAAAGAATAAAACAATTAAAAATTTAAATAAAATATATATATATAAAAAAAAAAAAAAAAAAAAAAAAAATTATTATAAAAAATAAAAATAAAAATCACACATAAATACTTAAAAAAAACTAAGATCAATTTCTTTTTTATAACGTGTGTGCTTATCAAATATTTTTGAAATAAAAAAATTTTTAAGGTATAACATTCTCTCTTTGCTCTTTAATAAGAGTTTATATATTTTTTTTTTTTTTCTCATTTATTATTATGTTAAAAATATTTTCATGTTAATATATTTATTTAATAGTTGAGTTGTTTTTTTGTCTTTATTAAAAAGAAGATTAACTTTATAAAATTTTGCAATTTTTATAATAATATCCTTTATGGTTTCTTTTATTAAATTGGGATTTAACCATAAAAGTTATTAACACCATAAAAATAAAAAAAAAAAAAAATTTCGAATTATCATATATGTCGATAATTAAAATTTTTATGCAGTAGAATTTTAAGAGAAAAAAAAAAGAAATAAATACACATATATATATATATAACTTTTTTTTTTTATTTTAGTCTAATTAAAGTGCTACCTAATTTTAACTAAAAATTATTAAATTATTAAATTATTATATATATATATATATATATATATATATATATATATATATATATATATATATATATATATATATATATAAGGTAAAATAAAAAAAATTATTCATAAAAAAAATGCAAAAATTAAAGTAAAAAAAAAAAAAAAGAAAGATTAAAAGTAAAATATACTTAATGACATTTCTAAATTTAGTTTTAGGTTTATAGGTAAACTAAATATTATTCAAAAAAATATACTTAAAAACATTATTCCCATATAAAATATTTTTAATTTATATTCTGAATATTACATAAATAAAAAGAGTAAAGATATTTTATTTTATTTTTTTTTTTTTTTTCTATTCATAAACATTTTTTAATTTAAAATTTTTTTATGTATGTATTTTTTTTTAAATTCATTGATTTCTTCTTCTCTTTTTGTTTCGCTTTGTGCTAATAACAATTTAGTGTTCATTAATTCGTTTTCTAGTTCTTTTACTTTTTTATGATATTTTTCTTCTTCATTTTTTTCTATATTATAGTTTGAAAAGTTTTTTTTATTAGTTGTTTTTTTTTTCTTCACATTATATACCATATTTTTATTATAAATACTTTTTGAGGATATATAGGAATATTCATCAATTTCACTTTCATTATTTTCATTGTTATATTGATTTATTATCTTTTGTATTAAATCATTACTTTCAATATTTATGTTTACATATTTTTTATCATTTATTAAAGAATTTTTTAATTCTTCAATGATTTGTTGCAAATTATGTACGTCTTCAGTTAATTTTTTAATTGTTGAAGTGGTAGATATATTTTTTTCATACAAACTAATTATGTTTGGGTAAAGTGGTATCTTTTCTAAAGCATTAAAATTATTATTAATTTCTCGATTCTCTTGAGTTAATATATTTTTTTCTTTTTCTAATTTAGAGATTTTTTCTTTTACTATTTCCTCCATATTTATAAACTTTTCATCCCATTTATTATTTAAATTTTTTATATTTTCTCCTTTTATATTTATTAAAGAGTTATATTTTTTTTTTTTTAAGCTTACTGGTATATTCTGTTTTTCAATTAATTCGTTAATTATATTAATTAAAATTTCCATAACATTAACCATTTCTTCTTTTTTTAAAGTAAATAATGAATTTATATATTCATCGATAACTTCAAAATGATTATATAAGGCATAAATATCTGTGTCTTCTTTTAATATTATATTGCAGTAATAATCTATTTTTTGAAAATTCCTTATAATTATATTTTTGTTATTTATACATTCAATGTCATACAAATATTCACATTTTTGATTAAATATAATATTATCATTTATTTTTATATTTTTTTTTTTAAAGATTTCAGAATCATTAAGATTAATTGCTATGTTTTTTTTACCATCCACATCACTGAAGCATTCTTCATCATTTAATATAGATAGTAATTGTTTTAAATTATTAATGACAAATATGAATTCTTTACATTTTCTCTTAGAAAACTCTACATAATTTTTTATAATTTTTATAGTCATTTTTTTCATCTTTTCTTCTTTTATTTGACTATTCTTTTTTAAAAGGAAAATTTTATTTGATAATATTTTAATTTCTTTGTTTCTTTTATCTAAAAGTAATTCATAACATTTCTCTAATTCTGTATAAGTTTTATTTAACTCGTTATTTTCATTTATATTTTCATTATCTAATTTTTTATCATCACTTATTTCGTTTAGTTCTTCGTAAAATTGAAAATCTCTCATATCTTCACTTGGATTTTTTATATTATCAAAATTTTCCTTATCTACTTCGTCAACAATTTCTTTATTAAATTCATTGTAAATCATTTCTTTGTTACTTTTTATTTCTTCTTCTAAATATAACGAATTAATATTCCGAATAATATGAGAATTTTTTATTACTTTATCCATATTACCAATTAAAACTTGTACTTTTAAATTGGAATTGGATTCATCTTCCTTTTTGTTAATCTTGTAATAATCATTATTATGTATTTCTGTATTATAATTAGAATCACTCAATTGTATTTTTTCTTCTTTTTTTTTTTCTTTATCATTGTATTCCTTTTGATTTTCTTTATAATTTTTAAAATTTTTATCATATTGTTCATTTATAATTCTAGGATTAAGATTTTTGTCAGAGCAGTTTTTATTAATTACATCTTCTTTAATTTCCTGTTTGTTAATATCAGAAATTGTTTTGGAGTTCAAATTATTTATTTCTTTAAGTTTTTTGAACGAATCATTTATACACTTTTTTAAATAAATAATAGAGGTGTCACTATAATTATGTGGACAACAATGTTCATTTGTATTTGAAACCATACTATTTTCTTGAGTTTGATCATTAGTTATATTATTTTTATTTATATTGCAGCTATTTAGAGTTGTATGACTAGATTTAATTTTATTTAAATTAACGATATTTCTCTTGTATTTTTTTTCTATATTATCGTTATAAATATTAATTTCATTTAATGGATTCATATTATTATTTTCATTATAAGGAATATAATTTTCATTTGGTTGAAGAATACATGTATCATTATTATTGTTATCACTTATATGATTATAATTATTTTCGTTAGAATGTTCATCGAGAATATTTTTATCCCTTCTTAGAATGTCATTAGTAGCATTTGAATTTAATGGGAAAACTAGAGAATTTGGTACAGAGCTATTTGCATTTGTTTTTTTTTTATCTTTTAAATTACAACAATTTATTTTTACATAAGCAAATCCTTTATTTAATAAATTATATTTTATAGGAAATTTTATATTATAAAATTCATTTATATTGATATATTCACTAAAATCTATTTTGCATTTTCCAATGATATATTTTTCATCATTAGTAATTATATAAAAAATGAGTAAAAAAAATTTATTTTTATACGATTTATTATATTTTTTATGAAATAAAGTAAGTTTTATTTCTATTAACTTTTTAAAGTATGCTTTTTCGTTCTTCAATAGTACTTTTTCATCTGATAATATTTTCCTTGTTCCTCTTACTAATTCAAATGTTACATATATATTTTCATGATATTTTAAATTAATATAATCAACTAATAGTTCAAATTTATATTTTTCTGATGAAGTATTTAAGTACTTCATAATATTCTTAGCTTTTTCCATTTGTATATACTCATATAAAAAATTAATAAAGAAAATAAATTAAATATATATATATATATATATATATATATATATATATATATATATATGGTTAATCTATTTATTAGAATAGTTTTTTAGAGTATATATATATGGAAAGAATTTTCAATTTTTATTAATAATAAACATATTTATATGTGTATTTTAAAACTATATAGAAATGAAAGTTTGATAATGAGATATGGAAAAGAAGTTCATAAAACTTCTTGAAAATAGTATAAAATTGAAGAACCTTTTAATATATATATAATTAAATATGTGAAACTATTAATAACTGAAAAACCTCATATATACTGTTTTAATTAATGCCTTAATAATAATTTATATAGTGAAAGTAAAAATAGTATATCCAATATTTTCCTTTTTTTTTCTTCCTACGTATGTTGTATTAAAATATATAAATTGATTAATTTTTTTTGTTAAATTACCGATATTTAAAAAATTAGAATAATCATCTATAAGTGAGGATTTATAAGAATGGACATTTTTTTGTAAAATTTCTAAAGAATTAAAGAAATACAATTTATTTTTGAAAGAAAAAAAAATGAAAATTAATAATGTGAACATGTTTTATATACTAAGTTTTTATCTTTCCATTACTTTTAAAAGTATTAAAGTTATATTCAAGTCATAAGTATAATTTTCTTATTGACAAAATGTATTTTTTTTAAAGAAAACATACATGATTTGTTCTGCTACAATAAAAAAAAAAAAAAAAAAAAAAAAAAAAAATTATAATTACATTTTCCTTTTAAAAGAAAGATTAATAATTTTATTGTAGCTTTTTAATACATAATGTATTTTCTTTTTATTAAGGTATATGGAACAAAATAAGTATTATTGTTATAATAAAAATATAAACCTTTTTTTTTTTTTTTTTGTTTTTTTTCTTTTATATATATATATATATATATATATATATATTTATACACAAAGAATTTTGATAAAATTAATGAAGATGAAAAGTTATAAAAAAATGGTTAGTATTTAATTATATTAATTGGGGGAAGTATATAATATAATATGCACGTATTTATAAAAATATTTCTTATTCATATTTTTTTACATGGCTTAGGTATTTTTAATAATAAATCATTGTGCTTAATAAGAAAGCCTGAAGTAAAAAAGTTTAAATATTACTTGAATAAAGGAACAACATACTTAAATAAATATACATATTCTTACATTTTTCAGCCTTTTTCTTATATATTATGCAAGAAGAAATATATAAATTTAAAAAAAAAAAAAAAGGTTTTTGTTTTATCTGACAATATTTACAATGAGTTAAGTGATTCACATATATACAAAATAAGAAAAGAATTATCAGAAGGTGATATAAAAACAGTTTTTGAAAAGCATATAATTAATAAAGTTTTATTTGAAAATATAAATAAATATAATAGTTTTTCATATATATATACTATTGATGATATATATGAACAAATAAATAAATTATATGTAATATATGAAGAATATAAAAAAAATGAAGGACATAAAAAATTACCAAAATTATTTGGCTTGCCATTGGTAATAAAGGATAATATAATAACGAAAAGTATACCAACAAAAGCTGGAAGCAAAATTTTATCAAATTATGTACCTTCATATGATAGTACAGTTGTAAAGAAACTAAAAAAACATGGAGCAGTTATAATAGGAAAAACACATTTAGATGAATTTGCTATGGGTTCCTGCACAAAAGAAGTAAAAAATCCATTTAATGAAAAATATCTGTCATGTGGTGGTTCATCTGGTGGATCAGCTAGCTGTGTTGGTTCTAAAATTATTAACTGTTCAGTAAATACAGATACTGGTGGATCCATTCGAACTCCTTCTGCGATGTGTGCATGCATAGGAATTAAACCTACCTATGGGAGAATAAGTAGATATGGTATAATACCATATAATGAGGAAACTGATGTTGTAGGACTTATAGCTAATAATTTATATGATTGTAGTATTTTATTAGATGCATTATGTGGAAAAGACAAAAAAGATTTAACAAGTTTAAAGAAAAAGACGAAATTTCATCTCTTATTAAAAAAATATTATTCATCACAGAAGTTTCGAAGTGATTTTCCATTAAAAAATGTGAAATTTGGGTTTTTAAGCAGTCATGTTTTAAAAAGTTACTTTGTTGATGATATTATAAATAAAAATTATGAAGATGTAATGAAAAATATTGAGTATTTAGGTGGTAAATTAATAAATATAAATTTATATAAATTAATTGATTACTGTTATATATATTACATATATTCTATGACTATAGCAAATAGTAACATTTCAAGAATAAATGGAGTAAATTATAATATTCATAATTTAAATAATGAATTAAAATTTATTAAAAAATTAAGATCAAATTTAATTAGTGAGAATGTTTTATCAAGAATAATAGGTGGATCATTAATTTCTTCATATTTTCAAAAAATAGATATAAGAGATATTTTTTTGAGTATAAAGGAAAAGTTGATTACAACATTAAAGAAATTGTTTAAAGAAGTAAATTATATTTTATTACCATCCTTTCCAAGATCAAATAATTTGAAAGATCACATAAATGATTCATATTTACACAATGCTTATTTAAAAAAAAACATTATTAATGAGAATAATTTTTTTAAAAATGGCATTAATGAAAATTATCTAAATACAAATAAAATATATAAAGATAGCATAAACATAAATAATACTGATAAAGATAATGGGAGTAAATATAATAAATACATGAAAGAAGTATTTTCTGTAATATCTTCAATTACAGGATTTCCTAGTATAGTTATACCAACAGGTGAATTTACGAAAAATTTTAATGAACCATTGTCTTTTCAACTTCTAAGTAGAAATTTAAATGAAATAGGTTTATTAAAAATAGCCTTAGTATATAAGGAAAAAATGAATGTTAATAAAAAAATATATGAAAATTTAAAAAATTCTAAGAATATGTAGATTAAAAAAAAATATATAAATATATATTTATTTTTTACAAATTAATAACACCAAAAAAAAAAAAAAAAAATAAATTAAAGGATACAAATTAAAGTAATTTTTTTTTTACTAAATTCATAAATATATACATACAATGTAAAAATCATATAAGAGAACAAAATTTACTATAATAAAAAAAAAAAAATTAAGAAAAATATACATTTATATTTATATTTAAATTTTTTTTATATTATATTATTTTTATTTAATTTATTTAATTTTACTTTTCATGATTTTATTTCATTCTATTTTTATTTTATTTTATATTATTTTTTATTACTTTCTTTTAATTATATTTTATATGATTTATATATGATAATCTTTATTTTATTCTTCACCTTCATATTAATTTAAATATATTTCTTCATTCTATTTTTTAATTCTTTAAAAAAGTTCATCTTCTTTAACAACAAGAAAATTGTTTGTATCAATAGGTGGAATAATTGCTCCATTATCTTCATTGACTTCTTTTTCTATATATTTTTCTTCATCTAAAATATTATTTTCATTTCCGTTGTAATTTTTATTATTTTTTACATGATCCTCATTTGTTTTAACATTATCATCGTTTAATTCTTTATTTTTCTCATTTTGTTTTAATGAAGGATGACTTATTTGTGTTTCATTTTTATTAAATTTTTTATTGTTTTGTTGCTGTTTCAATTTATTTTTTTTTATTAATCTTTTATTTTTTTTTTTTAGACGTTTTTTTTCAATATATTCTATTTTTGCTTTTCTTTTATTTTGAAATATTTGATTTTCAGTATACTCTTTCCATTTTTTTTCAATTAATTCAATTCGCTCATTTTCTTCATTTCTTTGTTTTCTATAAATGTCAAAATAATCACTTCCTGCACCAGCACTACTACCCCATACATTAGGTATTTTTTCAATTTTTATTTTTCCTTTTTCCTTATCTTTATTGTTTTCTTCATTTTTTATTGGTATTTTTATAATTCTTCCATCAGATAACATAATTTCATCATCTAATACTTTTAAGTCCATTATTATAATATTTTTTCAAATAAAAATTACAAAAAAAAAAAAAAAAAATATTAACATATACATATATATATGTAGATAAATTTTCTTATGATTTTTCTTTATAACTCTCTTTTACTTATTTCTAATTTTCTTTCAATTTCTTTTATGGAAATAATTTTAATCATTATTTATTACATAGTATTAATATTGAAAATAGAAAAAAAAAAAGAATATCTTGGTTGAGTAAATATATTATAAAAATAATATATTATTATATTTAACTTAAAACATGGTTATATAATATAATTCAAAATTTGCAATTTTTTTGAAATTTTAACATACTTTTAAAAAGTAAAATTTAATTATCAACAAAATAAATAAGAATAATTGTAATTTATTCAATTTATTTTTTATTTTATTTTATTTTTTTTTTTTTTTTTGTTCTTAAATTATTAAAAAAATAAAAAACAAATTAATAAAATATATTGTTTAAATTAGAAGTAACATTTAAAAAAAAAAAAAAAAAATTTAAGACATAATTGACAGATTAAATATTTATAATAGTGAAAAATAATAGAAATTTTTAACATATTAAAAAGAAAATATGTTTCATGTATAAAAAACTTTAAAAATTAACAAATTAGGCAAATAATAATAAAAAACAAAATAAGGAAATATATGATATATTTGAGTTTATACTATTTTAAATTAAAAAGAAATTCACTGTATTCATATTATTTTATTTTTTTTTTTTTTTGAATAAAAATTGCACAAGAGATGGAATAAATATAATATATATATGTAATATAGATTATTCTATTTTATGAATATTTCCATTTGTTTCTTTTAAATTTAATTTTTCTAAAAGAATTTTTTTAAAATAAGTATATAAAGAATTATTGAACAAAACATCATCTAAAGAATGAAAATTATTACTATTTTTATTATAAGTTTCTAATAATTCATTCAAGTTTTCAATAATCCCAGTTCTAGCTATTAAAATATTATTTGAATTTGTTTTAATAGCTATTTGATAACCTCTTAAACTAAATTCCACTAACAAAATTATATTTATAACATCATCTGCAAAAACTGAATTGTTAAATATTAATTTTGAATGTGCTTCACTTAATCTAATCAAACTTTCCATTGTTCTTATTGTTGTCCCATTATCACCATCATTGTATTTTCTTAAATTAGAATAATAAGTAATTAAAATTAACTTAGCATTTTTATCAAAATTAGGAAAGAAACTATTTTTTACATAGTAAATGTATTCTTTAATTTTTTCACATGGCCATATAATTTTTCTATTGCTATGTTGAGAAGAAAAAGAAGAATAATAACTATTAAGTTCAGGATTATTCATAGAATAAGATAATTTCGATAAGCTGTTTTTATTTTCTTCATGAATATAACATCCAGTATCTTTTTTTTTCATTGTATTTTCATTAATGTGATTACGTGTATTTGTTTCAAAGTCTTGTGATAATACATAATCAGCAACTTTTGAATCTATCTTATTATTATCTTCTGTTATAACTACTAAGTCAAATCTACTTAATAAAGCATAAGAAAGATTAAGAATAAGCACTTTATTTTCACTGCTAGCTATATTTCCTTTCACGTTTCTATTTAACTCGAAATTTGATGCACCAATAATGGTACACCTACAATTTAGTTTATCAACTATCCCACCTTTTGCAACAGATATGGTTAACTGCTCCATTGCTTCGTGAATAGCATTTTTATTTTCATTTTTCATTAAGCAGAATTCATCAATACAACATACACCATTATCAGCTAAAACTAAAGCTCCACTTTCTAACATAAAGGTATTTCCTTCTTTTATTGCTGCACATGTTAATCCTGCAGTAGTACAAAACATGCCTGATACGTTCATACAAATATTACTTAATTTTTGCACTTCTTTTAATAATTGAGATTTTCCTGTTCCAGGATCTCCAACCAGTAGTAAATGACACAGAGTTCTTTTATCATAATTGTCTTGTGAAATTTTCCCTTTTCTTTTTTTATGTTTTTTTTTTTTTTTATTGTTTTTCTCTATTTTACGTTTACATAAATTTTCATAAATGGAATTTTTATCAATTTCCATATAATTATTTTTATTCTCATAATTCTTATCAAAATATTTTTTCCATTTATTATTTTCATTATAGAAAGAATCATATTCATTTGTTTTATTTCCACCTATTAAAACTAAAAGGAGGGACATTTTTGATAATTTACAATTATATAAATTGGGGCATATACTTTCGCATATATATCTTTTTCCTTCTATTTTATTATTTTTAAAAAGTAACCAATATCTTTCAAAAAGTTTTTCCACATTATTTACTGGAATATTAAAATCAGAAATATACATATTTTTTTCATTTAGAGAAGGATTATTTTTGCTCTCGTTCACGTTATTTGAGAGGCTATTTTTTTCTAGGAAATTTTCTAAGTATTTTTCTTCTCTATTTAAGTTTGTTATTCCATCATCTATACAAGCTTTATTTATTATATTTATTCTTTTAGCAAAGTCATCATCTAAAGATATTTCTTTGCATTTTATATTTTCCAATTTTTTAATTTCAATATTATTAGCTTCAATAAATAATTCAGCTTCACATCTGATATCTTTGTACATTTTTTTCCATCTTCTTAGAACTATTCCATTGATAATTACTTTTTTTCCTGGATTATACCTACCTACGAGATTTTCTAAAAGCACCACTGTTATTGAGTGTGGTATATTTGTTTTACTTGTTTCCCTTATTTTTATCTCTTGATAATCTACTCTTCTAATTTCACTTTCTATTAGTTCAAAATTTGTGCCATTGCATTTTTTCTTGAATGGATACTTATTATTTTTAGTATCTCTCATATAATTTTTTTTTTGATACCTTTTGTTCATTTTTTTTGGAATTAATTCACTCTCTTCATAAGGTATGTTAGTATTAATATAATAATTGGGGCATACAAATATTGTCTGAGTGTTATAATACATTTCTGGTATAGCCTTTTTTTGAATTATATTATCACATTTCATACATCTGTATTTTTTACATTCTTCTAATATTTTCTTTTCTCCAACTCTTGTAATTATTCCCTCAATACTTATAAACTTACCAATATGTTTATTTTCTATTTCTTGTAAATAATTTACATAAATATCATGAATATATGGGATATTTATTACCCGGCACTTAATTTTTATATTGTGTTTGTCAAATATAATTTTTAAACAGTTATTTACTTTTAATTTTATATTTAAATCTTTTAAAAAAGAAGAATGTTTATATGAATATAAAAGTCCTTTAATTAAGCATGCACTGTACATATCAATTTCTTCCAAAACCTTTTTATCTTTATTAAAATCATAATCTATAAAATCATAAAAAAAAATATCATCTTTTTTTTTTTTTCTTTTTTTTTTTTCATCGTCATTTTCAGATTCATCTTTATAGTTATCCATATTTCCATTTTCATCCTTATATTCATACTTATTTTTATCTTCATGTACAAGTTTTTTCTCTTTGTTTCCGTTAAAGATATAATTTTCTTCATATTCATTGTTACTTAAAAAATTATCGTATGTTCTTGTAATAGAGTCAATCTCTTTACTACTATCATTAATAGACGATAAGTTGTATTTATTATTAAATTCATAATTGTATTTTTTTTTTAATTCTTCATTATGAAGAAATTCAAAATAACAATTTATAAAGATTAATCTAAAGAAAAATGGAATTGAGTAGTTATTTATTACATCAATAAATTTATGAAAACTATTTTGCATATAATATATTAATTCATTTTCTCCATATTCAATTGCATCATATGTATCAAAGTAAAAATTGTGTATGTGCTCATTCCTTCCTTTATCAATTTTTTGAACACTATAAAATTCAATATCTTCTATTTTACTTAAATATGTGAGAGCTATGTGTTTTATTTGTTCGTAATATTTTCTATTTTTTAAAAACAATTTTATAATTATTTTATTAAAACTTTTTACATTTTTTATATTTTCTTCTGAGTTAAAAGCGTATTCATTTTTATTACTACTAGTACTGTCATTATCACTAAATATGCTGGAATCAGAGCTAGAAAGAAACATTCTTATTTTAATAATTAAAAGAAAAAGTAAATTAAAAAAAGATGTATAATATATATTTACATACTAAAAAAAGAAACATAAAATTTTACAAATGAAATACTAAAAATGAAAAAATAAAAAATAGGAGATAATTTAAGATATATAGTATAACAAAACAAAAAAAAAAAAAAAACAAGGAAAAATATAAAATGTAAAAAATCAAAAGAATATTACGGAATCTATTAAAAAATAACACCAATTATATTTTCTTGTTGCATATGATTTTATTATTAAAAAAAAATATTCAATATATATGCAAGTAAATTCATATTGATAATGTGTAAAATAGATGATTTAAAACAATTAAAAAAAAATTGAATTTTATTTAAACAAAATAAAAATCTTTTAAATATAAAAATAAGTTACTATAAAATTTTTATCTTTTAGATTATTTTTTTTTAACTATCAAAAATATTAATAAAATTTAAAATTAACATACATATTTCTCATGAGTCTATAAACCAATAAAATAATTTTAGCTAAATAAATATTATAATGAAAGAAATTATAATATAGTCATTTTAACAAATAAAATAAAATTAGTGATAATAACGTATGTCTTTTTTTTTTTTTTTTTTTTTTATTAATTGAAACATATTAAATTTGTTCTTAAGGTTGTATTTTTTTTGTAATCTCCATTTTATAGTTCAAAGCTGAAATGTAGTATGTTACAATTATTTACATGGACACCTAGATACAATGATCAAATTCTTTTAAACAAAATGATTATTTCTTTTTTCTTATGAACTGTTCAGGAAAAATAAAAAAAAAATTGAAATTTTTAATGAATTGTTAATTTGGAAATATTTAAAAAGTTGAATGTGAATCAAAAATTTACATTTATTTTTTTTTTTTAAAAATAAAAAATTAGAAAAATATATTAGAAATATTTAATAAAATTTATTTTGCAATATTTATATTTAAAGGAAATTTAACTTATTTTAATACATTTATTTCAAATTATTGTATAATTATCAAATTCTTAATGTATTATTATCTCTTCTCTTAAGGGTATATTTTTTTTAAAATTAATTATCGGGTTATATGCGTTTTTAACATTAAAAAAAAAAACCAAAAAAATTAAAAGTAATTGTAAATAAAGAAAAAAGCATACATTCTCATATGAAAAAAAAAAATAAAATAAATGAATAGTACATAAATAATATTATAATTAATTTTTTATATAGCTATAAAAAGAGGCTTTTATGAACTGAAATGTATTTTTTTGTAACTAAATACTTTGATTTTCTTATTTTGAAAAAGAAAAAATACATTAATAAAAAATAAGTTTAAGAAAGAAAATCTGCAATTAAAAGCTTTCAATATCTTTACCATAATATAATTTATATATACATATATGAATAAAAAATAGTTATATTTCTTAATAATTAATATTAAATGTAAGTTACACTTTAAGCTAAATTTTTTTTTTAAATAACATTAATTTTCTTTACATTGTGATTATTAAAAAAATATAATTTGATATAAATCATTATACTTTTTTTTTTAAATATATATATATATATATATGGTTTTTGCTTTTTTCTTATAAAACTATGGGCTTTTACAATGTTTTTATTTAAAAATATATGAATAAAAATTACAAAAGATTTTTGTTTAAAAAAACTATCTGAATAAAATATTCAGATTTTTATCAAAAGAATTTTAATCAAAAAATTTATATTTTTTTAAGATTATAATAATAATATTTAAAACTTTTAAGTCAAATAATATTTTTAATATTAACAATAAAATTTATGTTTATATTTAAATATTTATTTTTAATATTTAAAAAATTGCACATACATATCAGTGGAACTGATCAAATTACAAAAACATTTTAAAAATAATTGAATAATAGTTTTAAATATATATATTAAAAAAATATAACTACAAATATTTTATGAATTTAAAGAATTTTAATGTAACATTTTCTTATAATATTTAGCTTTGGATATACTTTAAAAAAAGAATTAACATGCATATAAATTTATATATATAATTACCTATACTGTAAAAATATGTAAGATAGTTCTTATTTATTTATTTTTTTTTTTTTTTCATGAAAAAAAAAAAAAGAAACGGATATTGTAATATTCTGTTGTTAGATTTATATAATCTAAATATAAGAAATTGTGTGTTTTTTATTTTTTATTTTTTTTTTTAAAGCACTTAAGAAAAAAATAATTTCATGAGTTTTTAAGATAAAATATTACATATTTTTATATATACATATATAGTATTATATATATATATAAAAATAGAAATGTTGAATAATAAAAATATAATAAGAATACAAATTATTAATATTTAACAATTGAAATATTTTTAAGAAATATAAAATATAACAAAACAAACATGAAATCTAAAAATATCAATAAATCAAATATAGATAGTGCACAAGAATGTAAAAATGAAGAAATAGATAGAGATTATTACAATAATATAAAAAATTGTGCAACAGATTTACAGAATTTATCATTAAATTTTTTCCCTTCTATAAATACATACAGTTGCATACCTAAGTTAAATGCTATTAATGCTATAACATTTCATCCTTGTATTTCAAGCAAAGATTATTATAATAATACATATTCCTTTAAACCGTTATTTACTCATCATTTTTTTAGTGAAAGTGAACAAGTAAATAAGCATTTTTTTACTTTTTTTTTATTATAATATTGATATGCTCATTTTTATATTACTTTTTTTTTTTTTTTTTAAATTATGTGTATTAAACATTTTTACTATTATAAATATTAATATGAAAGAATATATATATATTAGAGGATTTTTTTTTTTCTTCTGATAGGTTATTGGTTTCGATAGCTTAAAAATAGACTTTTATTATACATGTGATAATTGCGAAGTATTTATGAAATTAAAAGGATGCATATGTGATCAATATGAAAATTCAAATCATATTATGTTAATGCTTTTGCAAAATTTATATATAACTACACCCTATCCAGGTGGATTTATTGAAACGGAAGAAGAATTTTTACGTATTTTAAACAGAAATGAAAAAAATGAAATTGTAAAAAGTAATAAAATGAAAAAGAATGTAAAAGAAAATATTCAAAGTGATATTTATAAACCACCCGGTTTTATTATTTATGAAAAAGAAATTAGTGACGATGTAATTTTACAAATAAGAAAATGTGGTTTTTCCTCAATGTATTTTAAAAAAGAAAATTGTAATGCAACAACAAATGAAGAAAAAGAAAAAATTTTGTATAACAATTCACAAAGTATATATGATCGTCTATCAAAAAGTATATATTTTGATGGTGATACAAATGAAAAAAGTGTAACTTCTAATAAAGATAATGATAAAAATAAAAATAATTTGAATAAAATTGAAAAAAATGCTCCTAAAGTTAACATAAACAATGAGAACATTGATAATAATGAAAATGAGAAAATTGCAAACTTTAATAAAAAAAAAGAGGAAAATACTACTAATAAATTATGTGTTGATAAGAATAGCTGTAATAAAGATCTTAAAAACGAAAATTTTAATAGTAATAATATTTTAAATGACTCAAGTAAAATGTATGAAAAAAAAAATTCTCATACAGATTTAAATATTCTTTCCAATGATACATCTGTATCACCAATTAAAGAAAGAAAGAAAAATGATAAAACTAAAAAAGAAATTATAAATAATAAAGATAGTGATTCTGATAATGTATTTGCTGAAAATAAAAAATTAAAAAAAAATTGTACAAGATACATTACTGAAAAAGATATGTCTAGATTATATAGGGAATACTTGCATATATTAAAAGAAAAAAAGAAAAAAGGCAATTTATCAAAATTAAAAGAATGTGAATCCAATGTAAATAATGTGAATGATAATATATATACAAACAACAATGATGAATGTTTACCTTCAGAAAATTATTCCATGAATGAAGAAATGGGAGAAGAGGCAAAAGAAGAAAGAAATAATAAAATATTAAATGAAAACAATAACAAATATGATTATACCATAAAAGATAACTTTGAATTATTACATAGAAAAGTAGAGTGGTTTTATCATTGGTTTATTGAAAGTGCATCTAATATAGAATATGACTATCGATGGAGTGTAATATTACCATATATAGTTTTTAAATATGATAATAACAAAAAATTTTCTGAAAATAATTTTATTGATAAATTAAATTATAAAATCTCCATTAATAACAATTTTACTTTTGATTTTAATGGTAATATTAAAGTAGAAAAAACAAGTGAAAATAATAAAATAAACAGAGAATGTACTAAACAAGGTAAAGAAATTATAGTGGAAACAGAAAAAGACCAAAAGAGGAAAATAAAAGAAGAGAAAAAAACAGAAGATGAAAAAAAACAAACAAAAAAACGTATTTTAATAGTAGATGATGAAGAAAAAAAGCAAAAAAAAAAAAAAAAAAAAGTTAAAAAAATAGAAGATTTGGATGAGGAAATGGAAAAAAAAGAAGAGGAACAAGAAGAAAGAGAAAAAAGAGAAAAGGATAGTAAAGAAAATTATGAATTAAAAATTGTTAATAATAATAATACTACTACTACTACTAAGAATAATAATAATAATGTTAATAGTAATAACAATAGTAATGATAAAAGAAATAATAATAATATAACAAATTTTATAAATGATGGAAAGGAATATGTATTAACTAATATAGTAGTAAAAAAGGCAATTGAAGATACATTGAATAATTTAGAAATTAAAAAAGAAGAGGATTATTATTCTTTTCATAATAATTATGATGTTATCTATTTATATTCAGATTTAGTAAAAAAAAATGAAAAGAAAAAAGATGAAAAAAAAAAAGAAAAAAGAGAAATAATAATAGAAGAAAATGAAGAAGAAATTTGTCATAAAGAAGAAAATTGTTCATATTATTTTTATTTATTTGGATTAGCAACAACTTATACATTTTTCACATTTCAATTTGATAGAAATAGGATATCTCAATTTTTAATTTTTCCTCCAATGCAAAATAAAGGATTAGGAATGAAAGTTTTAGAAAAAATTTATCATTTATCAATTGTTAATAATAATATACGAGAAATAACAGTTGAAGATCCAGCTATATCCTTTACTCAATTAAGGGACATTATTACCATTAAAATTTGTATTGATTTAAAAATATTATCACCAACTATTTTGTATCCAGATGAATATTTAAAAACAAAAAATATCAAGAAAGAGAATATAGAATTAGATAAAAAAAGATTTATGAAGGTATGCAAAGAAACACATAAACAAATTACTAGAATGATAGAAACTCTATTACTCGCTAGTGTATTACCGCACCCTGCTCCCATATATATAGAGAATGATGAAAAATTTTCTAGTATTAGAAAAAAAGAAAAAAAAAATGAAAATGTAAATTATGTAAATTCTATGGAGTATTTTGAGTCTTCAGATTTATGTAAAGATGTGAGAATTAAAATTAAGAAACGGATAAAAAATGATTATATAGGAAACTTAATTAATAAAAATATGAACTGTATGGCTAGTGATGTATTTAGAGATTATGTAATATATAAGATAAAAAAAAAAAAAAAAAAAAAAATAACCAAATAAATATATTATACAAATTTTTAAAAATTATTATATACACACTTTTTTTTTTTTCATAATATAGTAAATTATATTTATAAATAAAAGTGTAGTATATTTTTGTTATTTTTATATCTTTTAAATTTTATATATTTTATTTGTCACCTAAATTTTTGTTTTAATTTCATAAAAAAAAAAATTTTAAAATATAAATTTAATTTTATTATTATTATTTTATTATTTTATTTTTTTTTTATATATATATAGGTAAAGGAAGAATTATATAAACTGTGGAAAAAACAATGTAAAGTTTATTATAGGTAAATAAGAATACATAAATAATATACTTAAGAAAAAAAAAAAATTTTTTTTTTTTTAAAACATATTTATTAATAATATATTATTTTTTTAATTTTATTATTTTACTTTATTTTTTTTTTTTTTTTTTTTTTATTATAGGACCATAAAAAAATTGAGATCAATATATCCATTATAGCACACAATGAGAATATACTTAAAAAAAATTTTTTTTTTTTTTTTTTTTTTTTTAAATTCTAAAAATATATTTTTCTTCATTTTATTATTAATATTATAATGTAATAATAAATGAAATGAGAAAAAATAATAATATTTAAACAAAAAAAAAAAAAAAAAATAAAATAAAATAAAATAATAAATTCTTTTTTAAATTTGTTGTATACTATATCAATACACATTTTTTATATATAATTAATTTTTCAAATAAACTGATGAATCTTTTGTATTATATTAATTTTTGCTCATTTATAAAAGTATATATATTTATATTTTTATTTGATTCTATTTTTTTTTTTTTTTTTTTTTTTTTTTTTTTTTTTTTGCATTTTAATAAATTGATGAATTTTCATCATCATATTCATTTTGTTCATTCATAGATGGTTCATCTTGAATTCCAATATAAATATTATTAAAATCTTCATCATTCTGATTTTTATATTTTGGTTTTGTTATACATGATATAAATAAAATTCTTTTATTTTTTTTTGCAAAAAAAAAGTAGTTAAAACTTGATATGCTTTCTTTATCAACATATGGATCATTGTCAGTATCATTCAAATAAGTATAAACATCACAATATTTAAAATCAATTAATTCTTTTAATATTTTCCATATTTTCTTATTAAATCCTCTATATATATTTTCAATTATATAAAATAAATTATAATTAATATTATCTATTACACTGTTAATATTTTTTATATATTTATAATTAGAATTATTTAGATACTTAAATTCATAATCAGGAAAAACATAATTTAATATATTTATTATATTTGATAAAATACTTTTTTTTTCCTTTTTATTTATTATTTCAGGGATTTTTTTTTTGCATATATTTTTTTTATTAGTACTATTATTATTTTTTATTTTGTCTATTTCTTCAAACAATTCTATTTTAGCTTCAATAAATCTATCATGAGCATCTAATCTTTCTAAAATTAAATTAACATCGTTTAGATTCTCAATATCTAAATTTATCATTTTATATTTTATATTATTATTATTTGTATTTCATTGTATAATATTATGAGAAAACTCAAAATGCTTATTTCAAAATTATATAACATAATAATATGAATGAAAAAAAAAAAAAAAAAAAAAAA